GAGAAAAGAGAAAAAAGTTTACTTGTGTTTTATTGTCTATGCAAAGGCATTCAACTGTGTGGCTCATAATAAACTATGTAACAAACGAACTTTGAAGAATGGGTATTCCAGAACACTTAATTGTGCTAATGCCAAACATGTATTGTGTACAAGAGACAATCATTCAGACAGAACAAAGGGATAATGTGTGGTTTAAAATCAGGAAAGGTATATGTCAGAGTTGTATCCTATTACCATATTTATTCACTGTATATAATGAACCCTGATATGGTGCAGTAGGGCAAGCACTGGACTCCTAACTGCACAGTTCAGTTGACATTGCAAAGCCACCAGCTGCTCTCAGAAACAATCTACAGGGTCGCTATGAGTCAGCACCTATCTGACACCAGACAACAATAACAACTAAGCAAATAATCTTAAAAAAACTGGACTATCTGTAAAAGTATGTGACATCAGCATTGAAAGAAGGCTCATTAGCAACATGTTATATGCAGATGACACCTCCATGGTTGCTGAAAGCTGAGGGTTTGAAGCTCTTGCTGATAAAGATCAAAGACTACAGCTTTCAATATGGATTACAACTCAATGTAAAGAAAACAAAATCCTCACAACTGGACCAATAAAAAACATGATAAATGGAGAAAAGATTGGGGTTGTCAAAGATTTCATTTTGCGTGGATCCATAATCAGCGTTCATGGAAGCAGTTGTCAAAAAAATTGAATAACATATTGCATTGGGCAAATATGCTGCAAACAGCCTCTTTAAAGTATTCGAGAGTAAAGATACCACTTTGAGGACTAAAGAGCACCTGACCCAAGCCATGTTTTTTTTCAAATGCTGCATTTAAATTATGATGTTGGCAAAGAATATATATTGAAAGTACCATGGACTGCCAGAAGAACAAAGATATCTGTCTTGAAAGAAGTACAGCCAGAATGTTTCTTAGAAGGGAAGATGGTGAATCTTTGTCTCTCATACTCTAGACATGTTTTCAGGAGGTGTCTGTCCCTGGAAAAGGACATCATACTTGGTAAAGTGAGGATTAGCAAAAAAGAGGAAGACCCCCCCCCCCCAGTGAGATGGATTGGCACAGTGGGAGCCACAATCTCAAGCGTAACAATTGTAGCATGATGCAGAGCCAGGCAACGTTTCATTCTGTTGAGCATAGGGTCACTCTGAGTTGGAGTTGACTCTAAGGCACCTGACAACAATAACATCTGCCAGTATAACTTACAAGGGTGCTTCAGAAATCTGTGAACCATTATTTTACTTTGAAAATGTTATAGAGTAGTATTTGTGTTATACTCAGTAGAATTAATGTGGGCCAAAGTGGTATGATGGTTCAGTGGTGGAATTCTTGCTTTCCATGTGAAAGAGCTAGTTTCTATTTCCAACCAGTGCGCTCATGTGCGTCCTAACCCATCTGTCAGTAGAAGTCTGTATGTTACTCTGCTACTGAACAGGTTTCAGCAGAACTTCTAGATTAAGATGGACAGGTAGAAAGACCTGAGCTCTACTTCCGTGAAACAGTGAGAGACCCTATGGATTACAAAGTCTATTCCCACCACCCACCATGGGGATGGTGAAGGACTGGGTAGCAGTGTTTACCATTGTGTATGGGGTCATTATGGTTTTGAGGTTGTTATAAGTCGGAGGACAAGGCAAGGACAGCGAACAACAATTAGTAGACTTACAACAAGCAGTAAGTGTTATCATAGTTGTTGTGGACTGGAATTTATGCTTTCTTTTTTTTTAAAGTTGCATATAAAGGAAATAGGGAAAGGGCTCCAAGAAGGCACATCACATTGCCTTGTATCTTCTTGCCCCATTAGGATAAAAGCTTCAGGCTCTATATTACTGACCACAAAGTCCGTGAACCTGATCATTCTGCCTGTGAGTGAATTCCTTCCCCTCCTCTTCTTTGCCCAAATCATACCCCATTCTTCAAGGCATTTCAAAAACCACAGGATTATAACGGGAGTCACATATCCTTTCAGATGACCCTCTCCTTCAAAGTTTTGAAAAACAGAGAGTTGTGTATTGGGAGCCCCCTTTTGCCTCTCTCATTCAACCACCCTTGCTCAAACTAAGGTTGAAGAAATAGACTGTTGTAGAGGGGCAAATAAGACTGAATTTACTACTGCATTGTAGCAGAAGAAGCAAAGCTAATGTTTTTAGGAGGTCAGTGCCCTCCAACTGTGAAAAGGTGATGTGTTAAATTATGTGTTTAATTAATTCCACCAAATTGCATACTGCATAATTAGAAAAAGAATTCCTCAGGCAAGTTTGTTCATCCAGGACTAATGTGCATAAAATACTCACAGATGCATCACAGGATCCTCATCAGTAAACTTGTGTCTGTGCTTTCGGTGAATATTCAGAAGGCTGTTTTCCACTCCAGTTGTAGGAAAGGTGTATAGTTACCACTGCATTGTCTGTGAGGGTTAAGAATTCCAGAGACAAACCATTTTTCTAGTTTCTGCCATATCATTAATCTAAGAAAAATACTTCTTGTGTGATTTTATAAGGAAGAGCCATCTTTTCCACAATTTTGTTGTTTATTTTAGTTTTTGTTTATTTGGTCTTTTGTTTCTACATTTTTTTTAATATACAAAAGCAACCACACCAGGATTTAGGGAAACTAAGTCCAGAGATGTAGCTGCTATCACAAGAATTCAATAAGCTATAGTGTTTTCTTATGAGCTAATAAAAAGCTTTACTACCATACAAGTGAATAAAATTACATAAAAGATTAAAACAATAACATAACTAACCTTTTCCATACTACCTAATATTATGCAATGCCTTTGTAATTTTTGTCATCCATATCCAGCACTTTATTGTCCATAAGAAGAGACTATTTTTCTTTCACCTCTATATCAGTGAGAAAGTGAGTGAGTGAATAAGTGAATGGATGGATGAATGGCAAAGCTAGGTTCAAAACCTACTTTTCAGACTTTGTAAGCCATTCTTATGGCAACAGGATAATCCCCCTGCAGGTGCACAGATGTTTATGGCCCAATAAATGACAGACACACAGGCTACTACAGCCTCAGAGGATACCTTTAACTTCAGATAAATTTATGGCTGAACCACTTCAGAGATTTGTTTCCAGAAAGTATCAATTTATTTCCTTGCATAGTTAACATAAATCTGAATGGATTGGGAGTGCACTGCCGGGATGGCTGCCCAGGACGAGGCCCTTTGCATGGCATTTTAGCTGATGGCACTTTATGATGTTGGCAGAGTAAGACTGAAACATGAGACAAGGCTCTTCCCTCAAAGGAAGATACTAGTACACTGAAGGAGACTGGAGAGCAAAAGAAATAGAAGGTGAATCCATTATGCTGTTGTTGTTGTTATTAAGTGCCATCGAGTTGGTTTTGACTCGTAGTAACCCTGTGTAGGGCTTCCGAGATACAACTGGTGGGTTTGATATATATACACACAAATACACATATGTATATATACATGTTTATTGTTGTTAAGTGCTGTTGAATCAGTTCCAGCTCATAGTGACCCTTAAAGAGTTTCCAAGGAGCAGTTGGGGGTTGAACTGTCAATCTTACAGTTAGCAGTCAGAGCTCATCCTACAACATACCTGGACTACATATACATACACACACACACACACACACACACGCATATTTACTGTTTTTGGTGTTGTTAAGTGTCGTTGAGTCAATTCTGATTCATAGCAACCCTGTATAGTGTTTCCAAAGAGCAACTGATGTGTTTGAACTGCTGACTTTGCAGTTAGCAGTACAGTGCTTATCCTACAGCTCCACACCAGGACTTATTGTTGTTGGTGGTTAGTGGTTATGTGCCGTGGAATCAGTTCTGACTCATAGTGACCCTGTACAGGGTTTCTAAGACTATAAATCTTTACGGAAGCAGAAAGCCTCATCTTTTTCCCACGGAACAGCTGGTAGTTTTGAACTGCTGACCTGTTAGGTGCCATCAAATAGGAACTTGTTTCTACTCATAGTCACTCCATGTACAACAAAATTTTGCTAGATCCTGAGTCATTCTCACAATCGGTGCTATGTGGGAGCCCACTGCTACAGCAATGGTAACGCCATCTCAGTGAAGTCTTCCCTTTGTTCCCTGATTCTTTATCTTCCAGATGCAATGTTCTTGGATAACTTGCTCAGCATACAGATTAAATAGGTATGGTGAATATCGCAACTCTGATGCATACTTTTTCTGACTTTAAACCATGTAACATCTCTTGTTCCGTTCAAATGACTGTCTTTTGATCTATATACAGGATTTGCATAAACATAATTGGGTGTTCTGGAATTCCCTGTATTCTCAATGTCATCCATAATTTGTTATGGTCCACACAGTTGAATGCCTTTGCATAGTCAATAGAACATAGATAAACATGTTCCTGGTATTCTTTACTTTCAACCTCCATCTGACATAAGCAATGATATCCCTAATTTCATGTCCTCTTCTGAGTCAGGCTTGACTTTCTGGCAGTTCCCTGCCAATGTACTGCTGCAATAGTTTTTGAATTATCATTAGCAAGATTTTACTTGCATGTGATATTAATGATACTGTTTGATAATTTCTGCATTCTGTTGGGTCACCTTTCATTGTAAAGACCACTTTCCAGTCTATTGACCAGGCAATTGT